TAGGACTCTACTAGCGACTAACTTTAAACATGAAAAGGGTTTTCCAGCGACGCGATTTAAATGTAGTAGTGTCAGATGAGGAATTCTATGACAGTTGCTCCAAAATAAATATAATCACACAATGTCACAATCAGAAAAATGTTATAATTGGATAACGGAATGTGCAAAAATTATAAATAATTATAATATCAGAGAAAGGAGAAGAAGATTAGCGATATCGGCAGTTATTTTTGATTTGGTAGAAAAAAAGGATCGACCTTATACTAGAAAACGGTTTTGGATTAATCCATTGTTTCAAATGAGATGCAAACATGGATTTGATAATGCAATTTTACCAACAGTTTCACAGCAAATAAGTACATTTAGAAATTACTTTCGTATGAATTCAATTCAACTTGAAGAGTTATTATGCAAAGTAGCACCTTTAATCACAAAACAAGTATTAATTCATCAAGAACCAATATCTGCCAGTGAAAGATTATGCATGACATTAAGGTAAGTTAAAAACATAATAAATAAAAAATAAAGTTAGAGTATGTTATTTATACTTAAAATATTTGTTATAAACATTTCCTATTATAGGTTTCTTGCTTCTGGAGATTCAATGACTTCCATGAGCTATCAATATCTCTTCGAATTAACCACAGTTAGCAATATTATTTCAGAAACTTGTGATGCATTGTGGTCTGTTCTTTCTAAACATGTTCTTCCATATCCTTTTACAAAAGAGAAATGGTTAAATATTTCTAAAGAATTTGAAGAGATATGGAATTTCAACCATTGTATAGGAGCTATTGATGGTAAACATGTTGTTATTCAAGTAAGTTACTGAAAAAATTTAAAATAGATTTTTATTTTTAGACGACTTTTATTTTTAAAATAATCACTATATTATTTTTTTCAGTGTCCTGAAAATGCAGGATCATCATATTTTAATTATAAAAACAGTCATAGTTTTGTTTTGCTTGCTGTTTGTGATGCAAAATATATTTTTACTTTTGTGGATATTGGAGCCTATGGACGTCGCGGCGATGGTGGAATATTTAGAGACTCCTTTCTTGGCCAAAAATTCAGAACCAATGAAATGAATGTACCTGATCCAAAATCATTTTATTTCGAAGGAAACTCTATGCCTTACGTGCTAGTTGGAGATGAAGCTTTTCCACTTACTGAGTATTTAATGAGGCCTTTCCCAGGGAAACAAGGTTTGAATCAGGACAAAATTATTTACAATTATCGTCTTAGTCGAGCAAGGAGTACCATTGAAAATGCTTTTGGCATTTTATCAAGTCAATGGAGAATTTTAAGAAGACCAATAAATTGTTCAATTGAAACAGCAATGAAAATTGTACAAACCATTGTGTGTCTTCATAATTATATTCGTATACAAGATATTGGAGTCAATGAATATATCACTGAAAACATGGTTGATCGAGATGGTTGCGATGGTTTAATAGAAGGTTCTTGGAGGAGAAATATAGACATTAATTCTGCTTTTCGAGATATAAGAAGGTGTAGTACAAATAACAGTACTCGGAAAGCTGCAAGAATTCGAGAGGATTTTTGTGAATATTTTAATAGCGAGGGAGCGATACCTTGGCAATTTCAACACTGCTGATTAACTATGGACAAAGGAATAAATATTTCTTTATTTTATAACTTTTATATTGTATTTTGTATATAATTTCAACATTTTAATAAATTTTGTGTTTAATATTAAATAAAATATATTTTCACGCTTTATTATCTCCATAATTTAAATAAAAACTAAGTTTAATTTAAAGTAACAAAATTTTTGTTAAGTTAATTTATATTAAATAGTATAAAAAGTAAAAAAAAAACATTTTAATATTCATTAATATCTTTAATAATAATCATTAATATCTTTAGTTTTTTTTTAACATTTCGTAAGACATATTTAAATATCGTTGCATCCATTCATCTTGTTTTTCTGGCGATAACTTTCTTAAGTTATGGCCAAATAATTTTAAGAACGCATCTATATGGTCTTCTTGAGAGGGTGGTGGTGGAAGAACAATGTTAGGAGGTGGTTGGCATAAAGCATCTGCTATACGTTCTAAGTGGCTGTTTTGTGACTCCGTTCGCCTTCTCTTTCTTATATGATCTTGAAAAAAAAATTTTAAAATCATTTTCTTCTAATTTCAACATTTAAAATAAAATGTGATAATTAAATAAATTAATTAAATAAATTATTTAATACCTCCTAATCTACTCGTATCTTGACTATCTTCATTATTAGTAATTGCTAACATATCCTCATCTTGATAATCTAATTCATTATCATTCTCGGTAATACTGCTGCTGTCTCCATCGTTAATATTAGAAATTGTACTGTAAAGAAATAAAATTTATTATTTTATATAAAAAAATTAATACAAAAATAATTTTCTACTATTAAAAATAATAAATTATGCAGGTGCATTATTAACCTTTTCTGTAAGCAGCTATTACGAAGGAATTCCATACTTTTATAATGTTTCCATTTGCTTATGTTGCTTTTTGAAGCAGATCCACTTGGTAGTTTCTCAGCGTTCACAAGTCTTCTATATGTGTCGTGAAAATTCTTGAACTTGCTTTTACATCCAGCTGCACTTAATTTCCCTGTAAAAACATTCTGTTTTAAAACAATATGAATAATAAAAAGGGCAAGACTAAGAGGCAATTGAAAACTAGACTTAATGAACACATCTCGGATATTAATAAATCAGTTTCCATCGGTTGTTACTAATCATCGAATAGACAATAATCATAATTTTAATTGGAATAATGTGGAAGTATTAGATGTGGAACCTTCCTACAAAAAGAGGTTGATATCCGAGATGGTTTATATTAAAAAACAGACACATGGCATTAATAAACAAAACGACACGGAGTCATTGCCCGATATGTACACAAACATGATGCAGTCCTTCTCTACCTCTTAGACTGTTTTCAGTTGGTTTTTGCCTCTTATAAAGAATTTATTTCGTCATTACGTTTCTCGACATGAACATAATAAGTAGACAATGCTGTAAATTGGATTATATCTGAATTTTATCATTGACGACATTACAATTTTCACATTATGGATTTGTACATTATTGACATTATTTATTACACAATTTTTAATAAGGTAACTATCTTTTAACACTTGTTTAACATGCTATTTAAGATTCTTATGATAAATTATATAAATTTTATTAGATTGAATTTACTTTATTGGATTAACTTTTACAAGATGGACTACGATTTTAATATGCGAACAATATCCTGACATTATGATTAGCGATACAGAAATTTTATAATTTATTTATGTTTGTCACACTGAAGATGACCCGATCGGGTTCGAAACGTTTGTACTAATTTTTTAATATTATATTATACTTAATTTTATATATTTGCTCTAGCGTTTTGTATTTGGCTCATTGCCCTTTTTATTATTCATATTGTTTTATACTTATTGGGCCTTATTTATATTATTTATTCTGTTTTAATATATTTTTTAAATAATTTTTTTGCGGTCATAGTTTTATACATGAAAATTGGTGTAAAACATTTTTATTATATCTGAGGATGAATCAATCTAGTAGACGAAACATGTATCTAATATCATAATATCATACGTAACATCTTTTTTGTTTTTGGCCAATCATGTTTTTTTTTTAATTTATTTTATACAAAAATAATATTTTAAATAAGTTCGTTTGACTGTTATTGCCATACACTTCCTTGTTTTGTTTTTGAATACTAAGGCCAATTCTACAATGTGCTTTTTGTTTCCTTTTTCTTGTTGTTTGTCTCTTGTCTTCTTGATCAAAAAGGCAAGAGACAAACGAAGACAAACAGCAAGAAACAGGAAACAAAAAGCACATTGTAGAATTAGCCTAAGAGTCCTGTACTATTGTTCATTTGTTTTTTTTTAAATAATATATTTTATAAATAAGACATTTATATAACCATTAAGAGCTTTAGAAACTTCTTCCCACAAAGCTCTTGTAATTCTGCAATTCCTTTGAATGAGAGGTAATCTAAAATTCCATAGTGGTTCTCTGCATTGGACTTCTAATATTAGCATCTTCTCCTCTTCAGGTGACAGTTTTACTTTTGCGTTCTTTTGATTGGAATCTTTATTATTATTAATGGATCGAATATTCTCTGAAACAAAAAATGAAATGTATACAAACATAATATGTATAACTCCTCATTTAATTAAAAATGTGTATAATAAGAAGATCTAACGAGTCAAATTGTTTAAAGTATATTTTATTCAAGGACAGTAAACAACTGTAAATAACTGTCATTGACATTGATGACTTTATTATAAGAACAAAAACACTATATGAAAAAATTATAATTAGATAATTTAATTTATACACATTAAAATTGTAAAATAAGTCAATTTAATGTTTTAAAACTTTAAGAATATATATTTATCTGACCTTGATTATCACCATGAAAAGGTACAGATGCTATTGTTTCAGCGCCCTGTATCAAGCTTCTTTTAACAATAGTTTTACCATCCTCTAAAAATATTATTAGACAACAGATTTAATAATTTTTGTAATTAACTAAAAAAAATATATATATATATAAACTACCTAATAGAGGGTAAAAGTACAAATTATCATCTGTAATGAAATTAGAATATCCTTGAAGACACTCATGTGTGGGTACTTCGTCCTCATCACATATGGTTTCACATAATCCACACGTTTGAACACAATACTACAAAAAATATTTTAGAAAGTATCTTATATAACAATATTATTTATTTTACAATTTATTTTAACAATTTATTTATTTCGATGCTTTTTGCGTACGTTACATAAAATATTCTTGATATAATTTATATGATTAAAAATAACAGATTTGTATATACATGTAAAACAAGACATAATGTTAAAGACATAATAATAATATAAGATATAATAATTCATCAACAATATTATTATACTTACCATTTTGTTATCCATTGTTCAAATCTTTATCGCTCACTAATGTCGCTTGTATAGTTGGAAAAATCTAGAGTCCCTAGAAGTAGAGAGTCTGGAAAAATCGAACTACATTTCACGTCGCTAGCGACTTACATGACATCATTACATCGCAGAAAACGAGCATCGAGCAACATCGTGAAAATGTACCTTTATTCTCCTTAAATTTGACCGTAATTAGTTGATTTCTTACGACTAGAGTCCTATATATGTATAAAGAGAAGCGACATTGAACCCCCACCACCAGATCGGATCCCTACCATCACTCCCTACTTCGGCATGTTCCGACCGCTCAGTGTCGTAAACATAAACATACTCTAACCTCCAATTCAGTACTCCGATGTGAACAACAGGGCTGTAGTGATTCTCTGTGTCATTTGTGTCGCTTGTTGGAAGGTATATTTTTGAAAAATATTAATCGAGGTGCTGAAAAACACGTCCGACCAGTATGAACACTCGGACTGAATCACATGTATCAGTTTTATGTAATCAGCTGCGGTCACAATATGGCTGCTTTACTTAAGAGGGGAATCCAATCAGAATATATATCAGACTGCCAATCAGAAACTCGGACATCAATGTCGCTTCTCTTTATATATAGGACTCTACTTACGACTTAAGGCAAACACGTATTGTAGATCCGGAGTTATGTATACTTGCCATAATGACAAAAGGCATATCGTCCCATCTGACGGTAATGAATACAAGTATAACGTCCTACCCTACCATCGTGCATGATAGCAACGGTGATCGCGGTAGGGTGTGGAATGTGGGGCCCATCACGACACCTGCTTTCATTGCACCCGCTGAAGACGGTAGTAGATCCAGTGGATCTCTCTTCGGCACTGTCGTTGATGATGAAGTGCGTAATAATATATATCTTGTGATGTGACTGTCCTCTTGAAAACGATGCGTAACGGATTGGTGCTAGGCTAGAGTCAACTGCAGTTCTCCTCTGTCCCCTCCGTTTCGGGTGAGGGAACAGGCGGACAACAGGCGTAAAGTGAAACGGATGGCGAGTGGGGCCTAGCGCGCAGTATGGGAATAATCGGTCGTATGGTGGCCGGTAGTAGTACTCCGATCCACAGTGGAGTCTACGAGGAAGTGACGGCGGCCGGGAGGTCGTTCGGTCCACAACATACACGATGATATAGTCTTTGTAGGTGATTTCACGTTGTGAAAAAAAAGAGAAGGAAAAGAGAGAGAAGAGTAACCAGAGCAAGTATTCGTCATGTTCCACTATCTGCATCTCAGGAGTCGTTTTCTACAGACCCTTATCCTCGCACTGGTCGGCCTGACCTTCTACGCGTATTACCGCACCGCCGTGTATGATGTTCACCAGTACAGCTTAACACGAAACACCAGTAAGCATAATTCTTCACATGACTGTTTTTAACTAGAAGAAATGATTAAAGATGCTATTTTAAAGGAACAATATATTTGATAATAAAAAAAAAAAAAAAGACTAAGTTAAGAAGCAAATATCTATTTGTTGATTAATTTCTGTTTGTTGATTAATTTATTTATTTACAAATTCCAATTTTTTAATATTTTCTTTTGTCTTTTGTAAAATAAAGATGCTGTTAAAAAATTTTGTTTAAATTAATGATTAATATTTTTTAACATTTTATAAAGCCAAAATAATGATTAATGCTCAACAAAGATACCAGAAGATTTGTGGGTTATTGCTATGTTTTTATTCATTAATTGCTACCAAGTTTTGTGAACCTTTCTGTTCACTTCATCAGGACGAGGAATGTACTGATATCAGTACGCTCAGTACTAACCCATAAACTTTCTGGTATTTTTGAAGACAATACCTGTGAAAGCCTTAAAAACATTATCAATGATTAATGTTTTTCAATATTTTAGTACATTTTTTTTATTAGTTAATCATTATCCAGAATTAATGAATTTCAGATTATTCTGCATACCAAGATGGCCTTCACGTTCATACGAATCTCAGCCAATCCAAAAACTCTAGCTCAGACAGCATGTCTCTAAGCCCATATATAGTGCATAACTCTAGCAATAGTTCCTCGATTTTCACTACGTTGTCAACGTCCTCCAGCGTACAGTCTTTGTCCTCGTTGTCTTCCGTGAGCACGTTGGTCAGCTCGAAGCAGAGGATGAACGAGAAGCTTGAGATGGCAAGAGTTACCAACGTGACTAAGTCAGCACCGATTGTAGTTCGTAACGATTCGGCACGCGCCATATACGAGACCGGACATATCGTATCAATCCCTGAACGCTGCCCGAATCTTGGCAAGGGCATGGATTTAGTGATGATAGTAATGTCCGCACCAACTCATCTAGAGGCTCGAACGGCAATTCGGCAGACCTGGGGACACTTTGGCCAGCGTAGCGATATGAGCGTGCTCTTCATGCTTGGTACCACTCTTGATCCAAGAGTGGAGACGATCCTGCATAAAGAGCAAAACATGTACAAGGACGTGATACGCGGTCGTTTCCTTGACTCCTATTCGAATCTCACTCTCAAAACCATTTCGACATTGGAATGGGTAGACACCTATTGTTCTAAAGTGAAGTATCTGCTAAAAACCGATGATGATATGTTCATTAATGTGCCGCGATTGTTAGCGTTCGTGTATAAGCACGTGAAAGATCGTAACGTGATATTTGGCCGACTGGCTAGAAAGTGGAAGCCAATCCGGAACCGCAAGAGCAAGTACTTTGTATCACAGGCACAGTTCCAGCAGTCTGTGTTTCCAGACTTCACCACTGGTCCGGCATACCTGTTGTCGAGCGATACGGTGCGTCGTTTGTACGATGCTGCTTTAGACCAGACATATCTAAAGCTCGAGGATGTATTCACGACGGGCATCGTTGCGCACAGACTCGGCATCAGGCGCTCGCACGTCAACGAATTTCTGAATAAACGGATACAATATACGGCCTGCAATATCCAACGTGGCATTAGTATACACATGGTTAAGTACAGCGAGCAGTTCGACCTCTGGAAAAAGCTGCTCGACGGTAAGAGTAAATGTAAGAGATAACCAGCAAAGCTGAAAGTGACGAAGGTTCTACGCTTGACCCTGGCGAACCAAGTGCAATCGTTACCGCCTTAATGCGATTTGAGTACCGGTTACACGCCAACCGGCTGACGTGATATCTACCGTTTCACTGATGACCTCACACACCTACACATATAGCCGCGTGCGCACACATGCATACATGCATTCGGTTTAAGTGCGAGTAAGTATGAGGCATATATGGAGATTGAGAAATAGTGTGCCGCAAAACATAGAGAATTTTGCCGCTTGAATTTTTACACGATCATATCAAATTAGGCTTTCTTTACAGAGGTCGAATAAAAGTGATAACTTATCTCTGGAAGAGATTCTCCGAGTCTGGAAGTCGGAAATTACTATTTTATACATCTATATATATATATATATACGTATATATAAAATCTTTTACTATTTTATATATCTCTGAATTCCAAAGAAATTTTTTTCTTCTCGTAGAATTAATTTTGTAAGATATTTTGTGTAATGTGTATATTACAAATTTTTATTTTCTCAAGGAGGGAGAGAAGATCTACGCGTAAGATAGTCATAAATGGTTTTCTAACTTTGTCGACCTCTAATCTTTTTTTTTACGTCTCGATGTTAAATTGTTTTTTTCCATAAATACGATCATTCGCGTTTTTGTTGCACATGTAGTAGCGAATAAGCGTACCTAATTTTTCTATTTTACATCGGCTGCGTCCCCCATTTAGGATATATTAAACAAAATCGGATAATCATATCCGACATTAAAGTGTACACAAGAAACAAGGGACAATATTTTTACGATGTTAGGAAGACTGCCACAATGAGATTCCCAAGGAGTTCCTTTATGTAATCAACAGTCTCGTTCGGTTACACGCGCACTCATTGACGACATCCGATTTGCGATATAATCAGGTCAAAGTAGGTATCTAACAGGATGTATCAGATATCACGTACTTTCTCTTAATTAAAAAGAGAATCCGGTGTCAGATTTTTCTTTCTAACATTTTATTAAGAACCCTGATAGCAAAGCTTGCAGAGACAAATTTTGAGCAAAGCTTGCAGAGACAAATTTTGAGCAAAGCTTGCTACCATTTTTTATTGCAAAAAGATAAATTGTACATCTAACTTTCATTGTCTGACATTGTCAGTAAATTGCTGTCAGAAATATAACAAAGCCTGCTAGACATGCTATGTCAGCAGATTAATGGCAGAAACCGAACAACATTATCTGCATTACTTAAGAATAGAATGAGAGCAAATTGAGAGCAAAACCTGATTCAACTTTGCTCGGTTTCTACCACCAATCTGATTGGCATAACTTGTCAGCAGATTTTGTCGACTATAACCAAATGCGGACACAGATGCATGCCTATAGTTTTGAAGCCAAAATTTGATGGAGTTTGCTGCCAATTTAGTCTCAAATTGCTAACATTTTGCTATCAGGGATATCATTCAACATCCAAATATAATCTGATGAATTACGTCTAATGTCATTCAAATAATTTCGTAATAATCGCTAATCATAATATTATTGTTGCGTTCAATCGTCAATTCTAAATCTTTTAACCTGCTTGACAAAATACAGATAAATTTCGCTTGTGAAACATATGCATGGAAAAATACATACGTTTATGTAATTATAATCCTCGTGATTCGTACTACGAGAGAAGTAGCGAGATATCTCATCATCAATTATTATGCGTCGCGCGTTATTGCGCCAATCAAGAACGCGGCTGCCGCCTGAAATAAATGTGTCACGATGAATGGAGAGTGCCCCGGAGTGATTTCCCTTCTCCATTTCGTTCCTCTTAACCCTTGCCTCCCCTTTCCTACCCCCCCCCTCTCGTTCCCGAATATTATCTAGTCATCGTCTAGATAATACGCCACACGTGATAACACGAGCGGGTACTGGCGCGCCCAATATCTGTCGTGCTTCCCCTCGCGCATATTCACGAAGCACTTTTTCGTTATCGCCTCTTTTTTTTTTTGTATCCTGCGGAAGTATCGTACTATACTTCCGCTCTCGGTGCCATATGTCCGAGGCGATGATTATACGAGATTTTCGGGCCCCGTGGCATGATGAAATATAAAAGAGAAAAGAAGAAAGCGCGATGCTGAAGAGGGCCGACTGTGTCGACCGAGATTTCTGGTTGGACGGGAAGAGATTATTTTCCAACGATAAGATTCTTGGTTTTTAGGTTGATGAATCTCTTACACTTTACAGTTATTAAGTAATACAATCTGATTTTGATTTTATATATATATATATATATATACACTTTTTACTGTTTATAATTATATTATTTTAATTATTTAATTACTTTTTTAATTATCGTTTACAAATGTATTTTTTTATCGACATTTTTAATAATCTTATAAAATTGGAGAATCGTTACATCATTTGCAATCTCATTATCCCGTCCATACCGAAACCATTCTCATATCAACATTAATTAATCGTAGATTTATACTTTATTATATACGTATTTGTGTTCCTAGTGCGACGTGTTAAAAAAATGTATTATATTTTATTATTGTATTATTATCGTCTGTTTTATAACTTCTCCTTCGCTTTTCTAACGTTTTTCGTACGCTTCGAAGAATCAAAATGTTTTAACGAAATAATTCATAAAATTTTAATTTTTTGAAAGGATGTAATGTCACAATCTTGTGAACAAAATTCGATTTGTTAATATAATTATACATTCATAAGTTGAATTTTAACACATAGATATAATAAAAGAAATTTTTGATCTGAGAAAAATAATATTGTTTATATGGTATAAATTTATTTTAAGGTAAATATACGTATATTTAAATAATAAATATAAAACTATTAACAAAAAGATATCCTTTATTTATTATTATTATTATAGTAACTGAAACAGTAATTCTCATATACTTTTTGCGCATGAATTTGAATTTAAATTGATTATCTTATTTTTTTAAATTAAATTTTACTAATTAGATTACGAAAAGTATTTTAAAATTAATGAACAATAAGTTTCTTATATGAAATGAATTATACACGAAAGAAGTACGTGAAGTCAAATAAGTTACTGTTGGATTTTATCTGTTTTCAAAATCGTTAATGTATTTATGCTTATTGTATAATAGAATTAGTTCGTTTCCTTAAATATATCTTATAATATATTATTGGCCTAAATATATACTAAATAATATTTTAATTTCAATTCTTTATCTTTTTTTTGTATTTTATTTTTTTTGCGTTTTTTTACATATTTGAAATGTTTTATATAAAAATATTTGCATTAATTTTTTTAAAAGTTTTACATAAGAAATACACAAATATTGTGTAAGATGCTATTCAAATGAAAAATATTAACGCTTTTTTATATTTTAATATTTTTATAGAATAAAATATTATATATCTATTTATTGTACTGTGTGTGTGTGTGTGTCGCAGTAATTGAAACCATTAGGCGAATAATTATAAATCAATTATTAAAATACTCTTAATGTATCAGCTTATATATCATTATACATATATACGGTAATTTAAATAAAATAGAATTTATTTTGCTATCAATATTCACAACTTATATATTTTTTCAAATCTATGTATTTAAACCTATATCTTGACACAATACTTGACTTACAACTGGCCACAGTACATGTCAAAATTTGTGTGTAGCTCTGATAAAATATTTTGCCGCACTGTTTTGCTTATCATTAGGAATATGATGTTAGAATTGTTAGAAGATAGTATACATATACATATATGTATGTGTATACAAGATGTTCGGAAATTCAACTGACAAACTTTCAGAGATTGTCGGGGATACCAAAAGGATCATTTTTTGCAAATGTACTTTAGGTCGGAAACATGTCGTTTCATCGCTACGGCAGACAGTGTTCGAAAAAGGTCGGACCTTGACTTTCTCTCTTATCTCAAAATTGTAAATTTTATAAAAAATTATTTTAGACAAAAGTCGTAGGGTGTAAAAAGATCTATTTACTGACCTTATGAGTTTAACATTGGGCGGTGTCGCCAAGGTCAAGTTTACCTTGAATTTTTTAAATGAAACCTCTATTTTTTTATCGCATATTTTGGTAGTCCTTCTCGAATTCTTTTTAAAACCACCTTATTTATTATCTGCCTTTTTAAAACCACCTTAGTTATTATCCACTTTAGATCAGCCATTTCGAAGTTATTAAGTTTTTCCTGGTAATATGTCGACAATTGTAATTATCACATTACTTATCTGCGAATGAAAGTGAGAGTGGTAAATCTGTAGTACCTTTACTGACTGAATCAGCCACAGATTGCCTAAGGCAATCTCAGCTTGATCTTGACGATCCACCCAAGGTCTAATTCATAAGGTCAAATAGATTTTTTTACACCCTTTTGTCTGAAACCATTTTTTATAAAACATATTTTGAGATGTTTCGAGGTTCGACCTTTTTCGAACACTCTGTCTGCCATAGCGATGTAACGACACGCTTCTGACCTCTGGTCCATTTGCAAAAAATCGACCAGATCCTTTTGGTATCCCTCGCGAATCTCTGAAAGTTTATCGGTTGAATTTCTGAACACTGTACATATGTTAGTATATATGTATATGTATACGTATGTGTGTATATGTGTGCGTATGTACGTGTGTCTGTGTATAGAAATGTTACCAAATCCACATATCACTTTATTAGATAATATTTCATAAACAAGGGTTAAAAATAAAACTTTAACATAAATATAAATCAAAAATATCTACCTTGAGATAAATATAGTAGCATTTGATGATATAGTAGCATTTGCAATTTTGCATTAATTAACATTTATATAAAATAAACAAAAATAAGCTTGAAAATGAACGTCTGACACAATAACTCCCAAATTAACGTAGGCTGTAATGCTATATGTATAGTCCTATTTTTTTTCTTTCACAGAAGTCGTCACAAAATAATAACAAGTAAATGTATAGATTTTTCAGAATCTTTTTACTTCATTATAAAACATTCTATTGATTTATATGCATACC